TATATATATATATAATCCAACACACTGTTATAATTCAGGGTCCAACCTAATCTTTATGGAATAATCTGCATTTATTCAATTTTACTAAGATTTTTCATGGAATTGCTTAAGATATTTGCAGCAATGATGTTGGAAATCACAGCAACTCACTTTGTGAAGGCCACTTTAATTAGAGCTTTAGCCAGCAGCATTGGCCACAGCTCTGACTGACAAGTGGAGGCAGGAAGAAGCAGATTATTTTCCTCATCGAATGGCATGGAATCATCCACACTTATCTTTCTCCAGGATCCCTAATTGTAGAAAGGAAGAAGGAGAGGAAACAGAAGGAGCCATGACTCTTAGAGAGGAGGTAAAATCAATACTGATGCAAGTCAATGGCTAGTATGTAGAATGGAGGGGTAAAAAAACATTAAAAAGCACAAAGAAACACAAATTATATTTTTAGGGAAAAAAGGCAGATTACAATCTCTGGTAAAATGATCATTGATTTTCTTAAAAATTGTTTACAAACATTTCTAAAAAATAAATCCTCATCCTTTTCTTTTCCAGGTTGAAAAATTTAACATGTGGGTCCAGAGCATTACAAGTTTCTTAAGCTCCCATACATAAACTTTGAAAATTATGTTCTTTACATAACAATATATGAAGCATTGCTTTATCAGTTCTGTTTAAAATGTAATATATGTGAATTTATATATGAATTCTGCCACCATTAGTCTCCTGCTTAAGCCAGGCAAAGATCCCATGTTTCCTACCAGCTATCGTCCCATATTCTTAATTAATGTGGATATTAAAATAATCTGTAAAGCTTTAGCAAAACGATTAGATAAAGTCACTCCTCTCATAATCTACCTTGATCAAACTGGTTTCATTAAAGGAAGGCAGTCAGCCAAAAACACACGCAGACTTCTTAATTTAACAGAGTATTACTACAGCAAAAATATAAAATCCTACATATGGGGCCGGATCTATCAAAGGTTTGCGTGTATAAAAACGTGAGCTATTTCACTGCGCACGCTAAAAAATGTACA